GGGAGTTGGCGGCTGTTTGTACACCTCAGCCTCGAATGCATCCATATCCCTGATTACCCGAACCCTCCCTGCAGACGCGCTGGCCATAGAAGCGGCGAGAGAGCCGAAGCTCACAGGCTGAGCAGCCTCTGCCGCTGTTTGCTTTTGTAGGAATGGGAATGCATCAGCAGCAGCGCCTGCTGCCGAAGGGGTCGCCTCCCCTGGGGCAGCAGCTGTAGTGAACAGCCGCTGCTGGGGTCCCACAACCAGGGGAAATCGAGAACGTAGACTTGCGAGAAGAGGAGAGCAGCATGTGCGCCATCTCCTCATGACCACAGCGGACATGATGTTCAAGTTCGCGCGAAAAGAAACCGAATGAACACGGGAGTTTCGGGGGCCACCAACGGCAGAAATCTGCACCAGACAGGTTGTTCAACGGCTTACATCTGCTGTAATGAATCTGCAACCTCAGAATTCATGTTTTCAGCTAGACCAGTCGGCGAAGGTCATCAGTGATGGGCCTGGCGCCGTCGGGGCTGCGGCCGGGGCTGAAGGCGAATAGTGCCCAGCAGCAAGTTGAACTTTAGCGCAAAATATCATTTTTAACATAAAAGATAATGTAAAAAATGTAAATCACGCTGACTGAAGAAGACCGGACGAGGAGGAAGCCGGGTCTTTGCTGGTTTCTACAGGAGCGCCTATGCTAAGCACCACCAGCAGTTATATATCCGCCGCGTGTATAGGTAGTGCGGCGATGGAATGGGTTGGTGTTGGTTTTATAAACCACACCTAAAGCATGAAGTATATTTTCATTAGCTGACTCCTGGATCGAAGCATAATAGGCGTCATGGGGGAGTCGTAATAGACTGTCTGCACCGGAGCTGACCATGCTCCAGTACGGGTATAGAAGGGGAGGGAGGAGGCGGTTTCTTCAGGTTTCCTCTATAAAGTCATTCGTGTTCGTCCTGCTGGCATCTTTGCAGCAAATTCAAGGTGCATTAACTGCTGCTACACCCGAAAATGAAGTCGGAGATGCCGACGGGGTCTTCTCCGTTGCATCTGTTAGCCGAATGGTGCCCCTGCTGCGACGAGCCGAGGCCGCCACACGACTACGAAACTGTAAATTCTCCTAGTTTATAATATTTTATAATATACCCCGGTGTTGCAGGCTCGTGCAGCAGTGGGTTCCGCTCAGGCTGAACGCAGACAGGCAGTGGGGATGAGAAAGACTAGTTACACACATACAGTTTGTTTGTCTTACATTCTTGCGCTGCAGTAGTTACGGAAGACGCGAGTGAGGCAAATAGACACTCGACTGTCTTGTTGCTTCCTTCTCCTGTTCCTCGCGCTCACCAGGCGGCCCTCTTGCAGGCCGCGCAGATGGCATTTGCAGGGGAAGAACGTTTGCTTCCTGGAATTTTCGAGTCCCACGCCAGAACACTCCTTGTCAGTCTCTGCACTACCAATTTCCTTCTCATCCAACTGTCCTTTAGCTGCTTTGTTTCACCATAGTCACATACATCTCCCTATTATTGCATGCTTTGTTCCTGCCCCCCATCTGTTTTCTGTCTTCGTTTGTTGCTAAGTTGTAGTATTTTGGCCTTTTGGTGATGTGTCAGTCCGCTTAAGCATGGTGTATGCGCCTGATCATGCTCCTTTCTCTGCTCTGCGTGTGCGTCCTGTGGCTGCTTCAGCTTGTGCTGCATGCGGCCTCTTGCGGGGGTAGCGGGCCGCGGGAGGTGCTTCGCATGGCGTTGACGCGTGCGGGCCTCGTGACGGGGG